GCGCAGCCCAGGGAGAGGGCACGGGGGCCCAGCAAGGGGGCCCCAGGAGCCCGGGCAAGAGGGCAGCAGGGCTCCCTGGCAGCCCTCTGGGAGAGATGAGGACTTCAGCCTTGGCGGCCTCCCAGAGCTATAATAAGGCTGCGATGGCCACAGAAGAGGTTAAAAATAGGATCCCCCAGGGCCACCTGGGGTCAGCCTCTGAGCCAGGAAGCCCAGGTCTTGGGTCGGAGGTGACCTGGGCAGGGCTGGGAGGGCAAGCTCAGCCTCCGTGGGCGCTGCCCTGCCGTCTGGCCTGGCCACCTGCAAACCAATGCCCCCGCCCGCTTCGGTGTCCCCATCTGCAGTGTGGCAGGGAGCACTGGGGTGGCCTAAGGTGAGAACACCACCTGGCTGAGTGCATGGCTGCTTCCGCGCCCTGCTGTCATACGGCGCCATCTAGTGGCCCTGTCTGGCTCCCCAAGGTAAGCTGTGTCCCTAAGTCGTCCCTTTCCAGGCTGGACAGACAGTCCGTGCCCGGGTTCACATGGCCATGCTTCTCCCCCCCCACCAGAGGACCCTCCCTTCCTTCAGCACCCCTCCCGGATGGCCTGGCAGTGCCCTCTGTGTCCCCTTCACACCCAGGCACACTCTGTGCAGGTGCTCAGTCCCGGGAAGTGGAGGGAAGGACCAGGCTGTGGTGGAGAGGAGAAGCAGGGCCGGGTGTGTTCATCAAAGCCAAACACTTATTGAGCACCTGCTGTGTGCTGGGCCCTGGGGTCCAGCAGCGGAGTGGACAGAAGGCCCGTCCTGATGGAGAAGGCAGGTGGCCTGGATGAGCGCAGCCTGTTGGTTCAGAATCGCCCAGTGCGGGCGTGGCGCTGCCTGGGGATGGGGGGGGGGGCCCAGAGAAGCCCCTGAGGAGGGCCAGCGGGGAGCCAGGGCGAGATGGAGCAGCACCTGCCTGGCAGGTGGGAGGCAGAGGGTGAGGAGCGTGGAGGAGTGGCCACTGGACTTGGCAGGGCAAGGTCACTGACCCCAGGGGACATCCTGGATGCCTTCCCTAAATTCCATTTGGGGAAAACACTGCAGGGAACCCCACTTGCCCCTTGGCCGGCCCCGCCTCCAGACAGCCCAGGCAGGAGGCCTGGTCTCCACCTGACTTTCACTTCCCCAGGTGGGGCCAGCTGGAGGCTGGTCACACCAACCTCTGGCTCCAGGGTCAGGGTGACCCAGAACAGGCAGGGCCCTTTCCTCCTCCACCCAGCTGGGGGCAGCTCCGCCCTTGGCCAGCCCGGCGCTGCTGCAGCCCCCGCGTACGGCCAGGGCCGCCCAAGGAGCGTCATCAAGAAGGAAAGTGGGTGCCGCGGTCACAGCTCAGGGGCAGAGCCCTCGCCGAACTGCGCCAGGCCGGGTTCGCCCCAAAACAGAGGCAGGGAGTCGAACACGTCGCGCACGCGCACACTCGCCTTCCCGCTCCCGGCAGGGCCGGGCCGCCCCCGGGCAGCGCTAACACGTGCCTCCAGGAGAGGGAGCCAGCGGGACTTCCCGGCGCACGGGGTGGGCCCTGCAGAACCCGGGGCTGAGGCAGGACAGGAAGCCAGGTGCAGGCCCCGTGTGCCTCCGTAGGCAGGAAGTGTCCGGAACAGCCAGTCCCCAGACGGGACGTGGCTGCGGGGCGGGGATCCCGCGGAGCTCACTGCCAAGGGCTGCTGCCCCCTTCTCTCTCGTGCTGCTGGGCTTGGAGCCCGGGCCTCGCGGGTGCCACACGGAGCCCTGCCACCGAGCCGCACCCAGCCCTTTTAAACTTTTTATTTGAGACAGTCTCACTGGGTTGCCCATCGGACCTCAGGCTTGAATCCTCCTGTCGTTGCTGGGACGAGAAGTTTGGCCGCTGGTCCCAGCAAAAACGACGAGACACGCCTGTCCCTGTGAGCAGGGCCACACTGTCACATGTTCCAGTCACGAGACAACCGAGCCGTGAAGTGCCAAGCCCAGGCCACCAAGGGCTGTTTCCCAAAGGCCCTCTGGGAAACCCTAACAGGGCCAGGAGAGTTTCCCAAGCAGGGACACAGCTGCAGGCCACCCTGGGCATACTGACCTCAAAAAGAGTCACACAGGCTTTAAAGAAGGAGACTTTAAAGTTTGTTTCTTCCTCTTTTTGTTGTTTCTTCCTATTTTTCTTCAAGGCTGCGTGACTCACAGGGGACTTCCCCTGGAACAACCCAGCCTGAAGGCAGGCCCCAGCCTTGGGTGCAGGAGTGGACAGAGCCCTGGCTGGGGACTGTCCCATCTCCACTTAGTCAAGGCTCACCCTCTGCTCTCAGCCACTTCCTCCTTCCAGCAGCTCCCTTCGATCCCCCAGTGCCTGTCTCCTGTACACAGCAGGTGCTCAATAAATGTTGGCTGGATAAAGGGAACCATGACTCAATAGCTCCCCACTCACTGTCCAGTGAACTAGCCAAGACGGGTCAGCTCAGCATCCCCAGTGCCCAGAACAGGCCTGCACACAGCAAGTGCTCAATAATGGTTCGTCAAGTGAATTCACTTACTGAACACTGTGTGCCCTGTGTTCTGGAAAAAGCCTCCGCGATGGGCTGGGGATACAGCGCAGTTGCTGGGGAGCTTGCCTTGCATGCACAAGGCCCTGGGTTCAGTCCCCAGCACCACCACCAAAAAAAGCCTCCAGGACCAAGACAGGTCCATGACCCCGGTTCCGGAGGCTGAGGAAGGAGGACCGTGAGTTCAAGACCTCAGCAACTTAGCAAGACCCTATCCCAAAATAAAATATAAAAAAGTCTGGGGAAAAGAAACGGGGTGGGGGTGGGGGTGGGGTGTCCCACCCGCCCTGGGGCAGCCTGGGAGTCACTAGGATCAACCATCAAGGAGCAGACAGGAAGAGGCTGCGTAGGCTCATTGGGGGAGCGCGGGCCCAGGTGGCCTGGGCTACAGCCCTCCTGCAAAAATCAGAAAAGGGCGATGGATGCGTGGGAAAGCTGACGCAGGAGATGCACTGGCGGCTTGCGGTCTCTGGGCCTCTCTCTTGCCCAAGTGGCTGTGTGCTCTTGGACAAGTGACTTCACCTTTCTGGGCCTCCGTTTCCCACCTGTAAACCGGGCACAGTGATGCCGTCTCTGGGCAGGCCCTCAGGTCCTTGCCACGGGTCCTCCGTGTGCTGGGGTTCTGAGGGGACAGGCAGGAGCGAGCATCCTGAGGTCGCTGGGTCCATTTTATGGCCAGGGAAGAGGAAGCGCCCAAGCAGACCACGACTGCTGTGGATGCCACAGTACCTCGGAGGCGGAGTGGGGTCGGGAGCCATGGGCTGATCTGTGATGGTGACGCTGCCCAGGCAGGATTCTTGTCCAGCGGCCTTAGGAATGGGAAAGGGCTCCCCACTTCCTCTGCTGCCATCTGGACCACAGCAGGTCCCCAGCTCCTGCCCTGGACACCCCTAGCCTGTCCTCTCCGAAGCAGCCACCAGAGGGCGCCCGCGAGCACCAGGGTCGGACCCCGCCCTCCGCTCGTGGTTCCCGCCCCCTCGGGGTCCAGACCCGAGTCCTCCCGCAGCGCAGAGGCCCTGCCCAGCTGTCCCAGCCCTGACGACCCCTGCCCCAGCCGCTCCGGCTCTTCTCTGCCTTCAGCCTCCACCACGCCCTGCTGGGTCCTGCCCCAGGGCCTTTACTCGGCTGTGCCCTCTGCCAGGACCTCTGTTTTTCCCCCCCAGCTCTGGGCCCCACGCCACCTCCTGGGCCCCTTAAGGCCCTCCCTCTTGGACACCCGATGTCACCTCACCCTGCTTCCTCCTCCTCCAGTCCCTTCCGGTGTCTGACATTCTCCTGCTTATCGTTCCCTCCCAGGACCCCTTCTGTTCTCACCCCGCCACGCCCTGGGGCCTGCGCAGGAGGTCTCCCCCGTTGGCCATGCCCCAGCCGGTGGACAGAGCAGTTTCCAGGAGCCCCCTGCCCGGCTCCAGAATCGGCTCCTGGGTGTCACTCCAGGCCACCGTGGGGAGCCGGCTGTGACGAAGCCTGAGTCAGCAACGAAAATAGCAGGGGTGCGTGGCTGGGGGGTGACTCAGCCAGCCCCACCTGGCCTGGCCCCAACCCTGCCTCGGCCTACGCTGCTGGGGAGGGGGCCTCCGCTGTCCGGTCCCGGGACCTGGCTTCTGCCGTGGTGGCGACCTCTCCCTAACCGGGCCATGTTTGGGGCCACAGTTCGCTCCCTGGGCCTGTTTCCCCACCTGTTAAATGGGCCTTCAGAACCACTCCCGTCGGGGTCCCCTGGAGGTCCCTCAGTGTGCTGGCCACCCTGTAATCCCAGTTGATTGGGAGGCTGCGGCAGGAGGGTGGCAAGTTCCAAACCAGCCTCAGCACTTTAGTGAGACTCCAAGCAACTCAGTGAGACCCGGCCTCCAAAGGTCTGTCAGTGTGAAGACTTCAGCCGGGGTCTGGCCTTTCTTATTTTCCAGGGGTGGGGGTGGGGGGACTCCGGGGCACGCGTTAAAGAGCACTGTGAAGCCTGAAGTGGGTGGTCCCAGAAGTTCTCCCAAGTAACAGCGCAGTGTACCGAGGACCGAGCTCAGGACGCGGGACCACGGAGCCCCATCCCCAGCCCTGTTTGATATTTTATTCTTAGAGACAGGGTCTCACTGAGTTGCTAAGTGCCTCGCTGGTGCTGAGGCTGGCTTTGAACCCTCGATGCTCCTGCCTCAGGCTCACAGAGCTGGGATTACAGGCGCAGGCCACCAAGCCCGGCTTCCAACATCTTTTGTCTCCACCTTCTTTGCTATTAGAGCCCAGCCTTTCTGAAAGGCACGTGGCCGCCCCCCCAGGACTACACTTCCCAGGGTCCTTTGCAACCGTGACAGAAGTCATGTGACCCATCCATGACCAATGGGGGGAGAGCAGGTGACGCAACGTCCTGCTCTACCCTCGGAGACGCCCGCGTGGTCGCGGCTTCCGCCTCCCGTCGTTGGGGCGCGTGGCCGCGTGCTCTCAGCGGGTCGCCGGGCAGACGGCGGCTCCGAGGAACCTTCAATAAATATTTATTACCGTCAAACGCCCCATCTCCCGTGTCCCTCCTCGACCCCAGGCCCACGAAGCCCTCTGCCCGCGTGGGGACGGCTCCTGGGCAGCGACCCGAAGGGAGCGCGCCGGTGGGGTCCACGGGCCCTGCCCGGCCGAGCTGGGGTCCTGGGCGGCCCCGTGGCCCGGCTGGTCACCGCCCTTCTTCCTGCGTCTTGTCCTCGGGCGCCTGGGCCCCTCTCTGGTTCCACATGTGGTTGCTGAGCCCCAGCTGCACCATCTGCGCGTGGTGGATGATGAGGGGCTGCAACCCCGGGGCCGGCGCGGCCACGGGCGGCGGCGGGAAGGCGGGTGCGGGGCTGCCCGCTGGTCACGGCGGCGGCTGGGGGTATCCCGGCCAGGTGGGGAGGGGGGACGGCCCCCCCCAGGGCACCTGGCCCCCCAGGGGCACCTGAGACGGGTGAGGCACCTGAGTCCCGAAGGACAAGTGGCTGCCGAAGGCTGCCTGGAGCCTGTCCACCTGCGACTGCCAGGCCTGGTAGCTCTGCAGGCTGTCCCAGTACGCGGCGCCCATGGCGGCCGCCTGCCTCCGCTCGCCCTCCAGGTGCTGGCTGTGCTCCCGCAGGGCGCGGACGTCCTGCTCCTTCCTCCAGTGGGCCTTGCGCGCCCGCAGCTTCTGCGGCTTGAAGGTGTTGGCCACCTTCCTGGTGAAGACCTTGGAGTTCTCGTCCAGCCACACGAGGCCCGTGAGCAGGCTGGCCGTGTCGGGGCCAAGCTGCTCCAGGGAGCTCTCCAGGGGCAGGAAGGGCACGACGCAGTCCTCCCTCCCGTGCTGCGTGAAGCTGCTCATGAGGGCCTGGCTGACCTGATGCAGGCTCAGGCGGCAGTTGAAGTTGGAGGTGAGCAGCAGGATGGTGAAGCCCGAATGGTCAATGGCGTCCTGCAAGCAGCGCAGCTCCCCGCGCCCCGGCACCTGGAAGTCCTCGCAGAAGGTGGCCCCATCTGGCACCCCCAGGGCCTCCAGCTTCTCCCGCACTCGCAGGGCCACCTGCTCGTCAGCCCTGGCGTGGAGGACCACAAAGTTATAGAACTTCTGCTCTGATGACACTGACTCAAAGGAGGAGGGACAGGGGGACACAGAGGCTGGGGTCGGAGGCAGGGGAGAAGACAGGGAGGCCGTGGGGGCCGGGGCTGAGGCCGTGGGTGGGCTTGGCTTGCTCTTCTGGGGTGCGGTCTCTTCCCCCGAGAGTTGGGGTGGTGTCCTCTCCTTGACGAGGCCAGGACTCTCAGTGGCCTCCACAGTAGGCAGGGGCAGAGGTCCGGGGCCCGCAGACCCCTCTGTGCACTCCACTGGGCCTTGGCTGCTGGTCTCTGGAGCCTCCGGGGGCTCAGGGGGGTGGGCAGGGGCAGGGGCCGCCGCAGGAAGCCTGGGGACCAGGCCGTCTGTCAGCTCCAGGGAGCAGGCCGCGTCCACAGAGGGGGGCCAGCTCATCTCCTCTGGCTCTTGGCAGCCCGTGGGGACAGGCTCAGGCCCCGGGCTGGCCTGGGGCTCCTGGGAGAGCTTGCTGGGCCCCGGGGCGCTGCGCTGCGGGCTCGCGAGGGGCATGGTGGGGGACTGGCTGATGGCCAAGCTGCGGGCCAGGGAGACGGGGCTGCTGGTGGACCGCAGGGAGCGCCCCTGGCTCCAGTCCCGCTGGCTGTCAGTGGGGCGCGGGAGGCTCCTGGCCCCAGAGGGTGACGCCGAGGACGCTGGGAGGCCACCCAGATCGGAACAGAGGGGCTGGAAGCCACTCAGGTCCCGGACGACGTCCCACCCGCACCGGTCCCGGGCCTCGTCCTGCAGCTCGGCCAGCCGGCGGTCGCCCCGGGACCCGTGGGCGCGGAGGGCGGCCTGGTAGGCCGAGTCCCGCAGCGAGGCTGGGCACAGCTGCTCCTGGGCCAGCAGGTGGTAGACACGGGCCACGGCCCAGGACACGTCGGGGGGCTCCTCGAGGGCCTCGGCGCTGTCCACGCCGGCCCACTGGCGGGCCACCAGCCGGGCCACCGCGTCCTCCTTCTGGGCCTCCAGGGAGATCCTGGCCTCGGTTTCCTGGCCCAGCGTGAGGAGCACCATGGCGTGCAGCAGGCCGGCCCCCCGGCAGCCCGGGCGCAGTGTCTTGAGCTTGTGCTTCAGGTAGAGCAGCTTGTCCTGGCCAGCCGCGCCCAGGAGGTCGAAGGCGCCGGGCAGTGACGGGCCCGGGCAGGCCATGGGCACGGGTGGGTGCGGCTGCAGGCAGGAGAAGCTGGGGAGCGGGGAGGCATGTTCCGGATGCCGGCGAGCCTTCCCCGTGCCTCGGGCCAGGTTCCTGGAGGGCTGCTGGGGCGGAGCTGGGGGCGACGGGAGAGGGCCAGGGTCACCACCCGGGAGCAGCAGCTCAGGGAGGCCACCCGGTGCCTCACCTCCCTCCCCTGGGGTGCCACCATGCTGGGGCAGCCAACCTGGGTCACCTCCCTCTGACATCCACTTTCTCCTGTGCAAGACACAGCAGGTGAGTTACGTGGCGGCGCAGACGGACGTGGCTCTTGCCAAGGACAAGACGTGAAGCACAGAGAGGCCAAATTAGTTGCCCAAAGCCACACAGCTGGGGAGTGAACGCAGGCTTAGAACCGGGCCGCTGGGGGCTTGTTCCGGGAACCAGGTGGCCTTAACATATGGCAGGTTCTGACCACAGCCTGGACCAGCAGGTGTTTGGGTCGCCTGCCGCTGTGTCCGTGGGGCTGCCAGGCCTCCTGGGAGCCGTGCCCTGCGCTCCGATTGGCTGAGAGGCCAGCTGGGGTCCCGCCCAGCTCTGTGCACCGCGGGCTCGGCCTGGCGCCTGTTCTTTCCCTGTCACCTGCCGGGTCTCCTCACCCAGGTCTCAGCCTCCGCGGGGGCTCTGCAGCCACCGGGCCGTTCCCTCCCTGTCCCCCCTCCTGCGTGGACGGGGCCTGCAGGGAGCAGCTTGTGCCCCGACCCCCCTCCACACTGGCGGGCGTGGAGGCGCTCAGGCTGTGGGTGAGGAGAGCCAGGCCAGCGCCTGCCCCGGGCACACACCCTGGGGACGGCATCCCAAGCCCGGCACTAGGCCACCAGGTCCCCGTCCAGGCCTGGGGAACAGCCTTGGCGCCATCCCGGGCCTGGGAACACTTCCCCTGGGCCGCGAGGGACCTCCTGCCACCCTCGTGGGAGGCGCAGCTGACCCCCGCAGCCCGGAGCCTGCCTCTCAACCCAGGCTGCCCGGGGCCAGGCTGGTGGCTGGACGCCCACACCAGAGAGTGACCGGCCCCGGCCCACAGTGCCCGGGGGCCTGGCGTCCATCAGCTTCCGCTCCGGTGGCCCAGTGGAGCCCAGGTCATGATGCAGGGTTTCAGAAAGGTCACCCTGAGCAGGTCCACGGGCCCCGGGGCAGGAGTCCAGGAAGGACCGAGGGAAGCCGAGGGGGCGGAGAATGGCTCCGGGGGGGACCCGGGAAGAATGGGAGCTGACTGCCCAGTGGGGCCCAAACAGATGGCCCCCTTCCCAGAGCCTGCCGGGGAGCAGGGCAGACAGTGCCCGGCGTGGAGCTGGGGCTCGAGTCGCACAGTGTGGCCCAGGGTGGCCTCGAAGGGAGCAGGAGCCTAACGAGACGTGACACGGGGTCCCTGGGCGGCGGGCACAGCAGTGCAAAGGCCCTGGGGCAGGAGGAGCCTGGCCCGTGGAGGCACCCAGAAGCAGCCAGGGGACGGGGAGAGGAGACTGCGGCAGGGAGGACAGGGCCTGGGGGTCACAGGGAGGATGGGGACTTTGACCCCAAGGGAGGTGGGAGTCAGGGGGGGCTGTGGGGGGCAGAGGAGAAAGGGACTTGAAAACGGGGAGCCACTTAGACCTCAGGTCGGTCAGTGGCTGCGACTCACCTCAGGCCAGTTCACCAAGAGGACGCTGCCCGGCACATCTGTGAGTTCCCAGGAGCCAGAGCCGTCCCTGTCCTTTGTGTGTGGCCATAAGGAGCGCGGCCCGCTGGGTCGTGAGGAGCAGAGCGAGTGTTCTGGGAGGTCTGAGGTCCCGGACTGTGGCCCCTGGGACAGGGCCTTCTTCCTGTGGCGGAAGGTTGAGGGCAAAAGGAGCCGGGGTCACACCTCGGGCCCCCTATTCAGGGGACGGAACCCGGGGCCCCGCGGGAGCTGCAGCACCGAGCCACCCCAGCCAGCCCTTCTTGACTTAGTCTGAGATGGGCTCTTGCTAAGTTGATGAGGCTGGCCTCACCCTGGCCATCCTCCTGCCTCGGCCTCCACCGCCCCTGGGATGGCAGGCGTGGGCAGCGGCGCCCGGTTTGAATCTCTGCTTGGAGCTCAGCTGCCCCAGGCCTCCCCACGACCCGGCCCCGCCCTCCTCCAGGCCACCTGATCACATCGCATTGATGGGCAACGCAGTCCCCAGTGTGTCCTGTCGATGGAGCCACGCTCCCGCCCACACGTGGCCAAGGCTGCCTCCTCACTGCACTGCAGCAGGCGCCATCTGGCCCTGGACAGAGGACGCTTGCCACACTGGGGTGGGGGCCGGCAGGCCGTGTCTTTCCACGGCAGGCAGCCACCCGGTGCCCATGTCTGTGACCACAGGCCGAGCGCCTCTGTCTGCCACGCGTCATCATTGCCATGAGGTCGCACCGTGTCGTCCCCAAGTCGTGTGCTAAAGGCCGGGCCCTCGGCACCTTACAGGGGACCTCACTGAGGTCAGCCTTATGGGGCAGTTGAGTGGAAGTGGGGCCTTCGGGGACCCTGACCCACAGGACAGGTCCTCCTGAGAAGCACCCGACACAGCGGCCACACTGTTGTCCCAGGAGGATGGAGGCTGTGGCGGGAGGATGGCAAGTTTGAGGCCACCCTGGGCTGCTTAGCGAGACCTGATTCAAAATACAAAACACAGAGGGCTGGGGTGCGGCCCCCCGAGAGAAGTGGAGGGTGGAAGATGTTTCTCCCCAGGAACCGCAGAGTGCCGAGGAGGCAGGACCCGCGCTCCCCCTCCCTGACCTCAACTCAGCACTCAGGAGAGAAACGACAAGGATCTTATACTCAGGTGGGACCACAAGCTAGTCTAAAGTTTCTGAAATGACCCAGATGACGACTTAAGCCAGGGACGGATATGTCCCTCCAGAGCTTGGTCCTCAGGTCAAGGGTTCCTGCCACTCCCTGAAGGCTCCCGGAAAGACGGTGCCATAATCAAGACAAACACTGGTGCCACACCCGCCCCAGCAACTCAGGAGGCTGAGGCAGGAGGATGACAAGGTCAAGGCCAGCCTCGGGCAACTTAGTGAGACCCGGTCTCAACATAAAAGTGGCTGGGTCTGGGGTTGTGGCTCAGGGGTGGAGCACCCTGGGTCAACCTCCAGGACAGAAACAAACACCGTGGTGGCCGACTGGCTGACGGTGGTGTGCGGTGCCTGGTGTCCCCACAGCCTCCGCGGGGGAACCCGGGTGACCTCCATGAAATGTGAAAATGTGGAAACAGGTCGGAGCTTCCTGCGGCCGCCCTCGGGCCGCCGGGAAGCAGGTTGGTGACCAAGGCGGTTTGTGTGGAGGCTGGCTCTGGGTCCCGCGGAAGCCCGTCGGCTGACCCGCCCTGGGCGGCCATTCCCGTGGGACGCAGGCGCCAAGGTCCCCAGGGCTGAGGGCTTCCGTTCACCAGGCGCCACCTGAGGAGTCGCCTGAGCGCTGAGCAGAGGGCACAGCAGGCTTGGGGCTGAGCCCCTGGACAGCGCAGTGGCCCACGCGGTCACGGCAGCACTGGGTGGAGGAGGGAGGACGGCGAGTCCAGCCGCCTAACCCACGCGAGGCCCTGTCCGCGGTGCACACGCAGGAGCCTCCGTGCAGCCGGGCGGGTGGCGCCGGCCTGTGATCCGGGGACTTGGAGGCTGAGGCAGGAGGACGGCAAGTTCAGGGCCAGCCTCAGCCACTCAGTGAGGCCCTGACGCTGACAAGGTATCCTAAAAAGGGCTGCAGGTGGCTCAGGGGTTGAGGCCCTGGGTTCAATCCCCGGTCCCCCCAAAAGCCTCAGCCTTCCTGTCTGTGGAAAGGGTCCACAGTCCCGCTGTCCCTGCGGGGGACAGCGCAGGGGCCCCAGGCCGCGGTGGGAGTCAGCACAGCTGCTCCTGAGGCACCGGACCTGGGGACCCCTGACCCCAGAGGCCCGGAGCCCACAAGCTCAGCTGCAGTCCCTGGAGCTGACCCCGTGTCCTGCCCGCTGAGCGCGGGTCATCTGCTGAACCTCCCACGGCCTGGGGACAGAGTCCACCCCCCCAGGGTGGGCACAGACCTCGGGGCGTCTCGGCCTCAGTCCCCGCGACTGGGACCTCACGTCACAGTGGCCCTCAGGGAGGGTGCAGCTTGCAGAGCGCCCCATGCAGGGTCCCTGGGTCCACCCCGCAGGGGACGCTGGCCTGGCCATGCGGCACCGGGGCCAGCGTCACCCTCGGCGCTGGAGGATCTGTTCCCTGTGTCTAGGACGCACTTCCTGGTCCCTGGGTCCCCCGCGTGCCCCACGTGTCCTCCACAGAAGGAGCATTTGCTGAGCACCTACTGTGCGCACGCGGCTCAGTGCTCTGCAGGCAGGGACGGGCACCTCCTCCGCCCCGTGTGGCACACTTCACTCCAGGGAGACCAACAGGAAATGAGAAAAGAGCCAGATCATCTCAGAATGGAAAGCGCCTGCAGGAAGCCAGCGGGTGCCGCGCAGAGTGGGGGCGGGGTGCGGGAGGGGGCCTGAAGGAAGGGGGGGGCGAGTCAGATGGAGACCAGGCCCAGGGGCTCAGGCAGAGGCACCGCTGTGCACAGGCCCTGGGGCAGGTTGGGCCTGGCCTGTGGGGGCCGCGGCTGAAGCAGAGGAGGGGGCAGGGGGCCGTCGGGTGGCGCAGGGATTGGGCTCTGACCAGGAGGCAGGTGGGAGCGGCGGAGGGCCGTGGGCACTGGGAGGAGGGATCCGCTCACAGCACTCTCTGGCCACTGCAGGGCCGACAGGCTGTGGGGCACGGGCAGAAGCTGGGACCAGGTGCAGGCTGGTGGCAGTGGGGGTCATTGCCCACAGGACAAGCGGATGGACGGGATGGAGGGTGTGAGGAGCTGGCTTGGGGCCGGAAGGAGACTCGGGCAGTTGGGTTAGGCACGACTGCTCCTCCGAGACAACCCCGCGTCTTCCCTGAGGACAAGCGTCTCCTGCTCCTTGCTCTCTGTTCTGGTGCACTGTCCCAGGCTTGGCTCTGCCTCAGGACCTTTGCACAGGCCATGCCTCAGCACTTTCCCTAGTACCCACTTGACCAGCACCACCCCACCCCTCCCTGCCTCATTTTCCTCATGTCCACTTCTCACCAGGGGACACTACAGACTTCGCTTATTTACGCTGGGGAGAGCCTTTCCTACTGGAGACAGCCTCCCCAGGCAGCCTCCAGGCACAGGCTAGGGATGTTGCTGGGCCTTGTTCCTGCTGTATCCAGAGTGCTGTATTGGCGCTCAGTAGATGCTGGCCAGATAATCAGTGGAAGAACCACACAGTGCCTGGTACACAGTAGGTGCTTACTAAACGCTGAGTGAATGAATCAATACTGACGGAGTACTCAATGATCCAATCAGCTGACTGGGCAGAGGGCGTCCGGTATACAGTAAGCACTCCATGCGTGCTTCCTGCCTCTGGATCCTCTCTCCCTAACAAGATGGTGAGTCTCACCTGCTCCCTCAGGACTGGCCCACAGTGGTGCCGTCCCTCCTGGCTAATAAAACAATGTCCAGGAGGCCAGGTGTGTGGGCAGGGCCCGCCCCTGGGGGGGGGCGGAGACAGGAGCTTCTTGAGCCCAGGTTCCTGGCAGCCTGGGTGACACAGTGAGACCCCATCTCAGAAATTTAAAAATAAATACAAGTGTCGCTGAAAAACTCTGTTATGAGGAGCCGGGCTGAAGGACAAGGCCCGGTCACTGGGCTGCGTCGACGGCTGCGTCTGTCCAACAGGAGTTCACTGAGCACCTACTACACGCCAGGCCCTGTGCCAGCAAGCGACACTGGAGCTGGGCTCTTTGAATGGCCCCTTACGGAGGGGAACGGAGGACGAGGGGCGAAGCCGGTGGCCAGCCTCTGCCAGGAGCAAGGTGGCTGGGCGGCTGCTCCAGGGCCTGCATTTCTTGCCTGTGCCAAGCTTGGGTGTCCCCCGTGCTGCGTCCAGGCCTCCTCAGGCCCGGCCCGCGGGGAGGCTGGGGACACCCACCCCTCAGAGGTGGCCTGGACACCTTCGCTGTCTTAACCATGGTCCCCTGCGGGCACATGACCGTCCCTACGGTGTGTGGTGTGCCCAGTGTCCCCGCTGGCGTCGCGGCTCCTCCTCCAGGTGGGGCAGGGACAGGTCCCCGCTCCCCCTGGGCTCCCACCGCGGTGGCCTCCTCAAGTCCCGCTTTAGCCACCACCAGGAAAAGCCATGACGCGGCCTCTGCTGGGCTGGGCGCCTAGAGCCACCGTGCTGGGGCAGGCGCTGCAGGTGGGCGGGTCCTCGGGGTCCTGGGGGAAGTGGCAGCCGGGCGCGGTGCAGGCGGCCACCAGACCTGTGTCCCAGGAGGGGTCAAGAGGGACACAGGTGGCGCCCAGGGACAGGAGGAGTCACTCCCAGCCGCGCGCCCACCCGTCCCGTCCCCACCTACCCGGGCCGCGGCGCTGGCGCTGGTCCTTGGTCCACGGGGTGGCGACGGTGGTGGCCCTAGGTCCTGGGGGTGGCCGCGGTGGCCTCTCGGGAGAGGCGCCGCCCCTTCTGCGTCTGGGCAGGGTGCGCTCCGCCTCCGCGCCCTCGGGGGAAAGTCCCCGGCGCGCACCGCCACGTGGTCCCGCCCCGCGGGGGACGGAGGGCAGGGGACGAGGACAGGAGGACAGGGGGCCGAGGAGACCTGCTCCCCCTGCGACCCTGGACCCAGGGCCGCCCCGCGGGCACCGACCTCCCCGGCGCCCGGCCGGGAGCCACCCCAGGTCCCCGCCGCGGCCTCCAGGGAGGAAGCAGCAGGGCCGCCAGGGCGGGGCGGGGCGGGGCTCCTGGGTTTCGTTTGGGCGGGAACAGTTCTGGAGGTGGCCGGCGGGACGGGACGCTGCGCAGAGGCGCTGGGGCGTCGCTCAGTGGCGGGACCCCAGAAGTTAGGGGGGTGGTGTCCCAGCCGCCAGGGCAAAGGGAGCGCGGTCACCCTAACCCCCGCTGGGCCACCGCCTCTTGGTCTGGGTGTCTTCTTGCCGTCCTGGGGGTGGCGCCCGGGCCTGCGTGCCTGCCCTGGTCACCAGGCCACCCGGCCAGCCCCAACACAGCGTGACACAGTTGAACCTAAGATGCCTCGGGTGTACTTTGCATCTACCCCGTGAAATGACCAGCTCCCGCAGCCACTCGACCTGCATAATGAGGAGTGACGCGTATGTGCCTTGGCCTGTGGTGACGAGGTCTGTGGCAAGACACTGGACGATCCTTGGGGACTGTGCCAGATCTCAGCCACCTCGTTGGTGGCTGAGGGGGTGGCGGGTCAGCTGGAGTGACCACACCCCGACTCCATCAGGATCCCTGGGGGCCCTGGGGCAGGTGTGGGGAAGCAGGGCCGCTCTCCAGGGGGAGAGACCGACCTGGGCACCTACTGTGTGCCGGGCGCTCTGGCCTCCCAGGCGGTGGGTGGGAGACAGATGTCCTCCTGCCACTGTGAGCAGGCGCAGGTCCACCCCAGGACGGAGACGCGGAGCCCTGATCCGGCTCTGGAGAGGGGGCTCATCGTGGAGGGACGTGGGGTGCCATCAGCCACCGCCCGAGCAGAGCAGGAGGCAGAGGCCAGAGCTCGGCCTGGGGACCCTTTGCCAGAGAAGTGACACCCTGCAGGTGTGGGAGAGGGGCGTGGGCCTTGGGGTCCTGCCACACCAGTGCCCCCAAGGCACCTGCTCCACCCCAGGGGGACGGGGAGCTGACCCCAGCTGACCCCAGTGTGTGGGGCGGGCGGCCACCCTGGCCTGCTCAGCCGCCAGAGACACGGCGGACAGCACCAGGGAGCAGGGCCAGTGTCGGGACCCACCACCCCACGGAGAGGCCCAAGGGGCAGCGGTTCCAGGAAGCCCTGAGGTCAGGGGGCCTCTTCTCATGGCCAGGACCTTACTGCAGCTGGACCCAGCAAGAGGACTCAGCAGGAGCCTCCCGCGGGCCACCCCAGCACTCGGGAGGCTGAGGAGGCAGGTGGCTAGTTCAAGGCCAGCCTCGGCGACTCGCAAGGCCTCAAGCCACAGAGGGGACCCCGATCTCAAACGAAAGCCAAAAAGGGCTGGGGACGTGGCTGGGGTGGGGCACCCGGGTTCAATCCCTGGAGCCAAAAACGAAACAGACCGACCCCAAACCAGCAGGAAGGCCTCCCCAGGAGACCGGCCTCCAGGAGCAGGAGCGGGCCCAGCCGGGGCGGGAGTGGAGGCTCAGCGGGCAGCGCTCGCCTGGCACGTGTGGGTGCCCCTCACCAACGTGAAACAGATAAAGGCGCGTGTCCCCCGAGGACGGAGGGCAGACCAAAGGGCTGGGGACAGCTCGGGCAGAGCAGCTGCCCAGCACGGGCCCCGGGCTCCATCCCAGCTGCGCAGAGATGACAGACAGACAGCAGAGGAGCAGGGAAGGCACGTGGCCCCAGGCCTTCGCGGGGCAGAGGAACACGCGTTTATTAAGGCCACGGCGCAGCTGCCTCAGCCCCTCCTGGCCCACAGCAGGCGGGGGCCGGGGGCCAGCTCTCAGACCAAGCCCAAGGCCACTTAGGAGCGCCCGGGACGGGGCCTCGGTGGAGGAAAGGACGACCCGTGACAGCTAAGGTGACGATCGATTCTTACTGAAGGAAAAAGAAATTTTTTGGAAATTTCTAGAAATTTTTTTGGCTGGAAACGTCACCTGTGGCGTGAGGCCTGAGCAGGCCTCAGTGGCCAGGGGCCGGCTCCTCGCTGCGGGGCCCCTCGGGTGGGGGGGCAGCGCCAGCCTCGCTCCCTCCCGGGCCGCCCTCCGGGGCCTTCTCCGTGATCCCGGGGGCGAAGGGCCCCACCAGCCACGTGACGGGGGTGCTCCGGGCCACGAACTCCACCGTGCGGTCCAGGGCCTCTCGGGCCTTCGCCACCTGCTCACGGCTCTGCATCAGGATGCTGCTGGACAGGTCCTGGAAGGAGTGGATGCTGGCAAAGGTGGACTGGAGGTCCTCCACCTGGCGGCGGGCCTGCTGCACCTGGTCCTTCACCTGGGAGGGCAGCCCCTGGATGCTGGACGCCAGGGAGGCACAGGTGGTCTGCAACTGCTGGGTGATGCCCCGGAGCATGGTGAGCGCCTGCAACTCCACCTGCTGCGGGGACAGCGAGGACCATCAGGAACGTTCGCTGGCTGGGTACGGTGGCACACACCTGATCCCAGAAACTGGGGAGGCTGGGACAGGAGGATCTTAGGGTGGAGGCCAGCCTCAGCAAGACCTTATCTCAAAATAAAACATTAAAAGTGGGGGGAGGGCTGGAGACGGGTGCCTCGGTGGTTAAGCAGACCTGGGCTTGACTCTTGGTACCAATAAATAAATAAGTAAATAAAAAGGGCTGAGCGTGCAGAGTGCAGGATCACGGCTGGACCCGCCCCAGTGCCAACACAGCACTGGTGCTCTGGGAAGGTGGGCGGCGCTGGGAGCAGAGGACAAGGGCGCTGAGTGGCCGGGCTCGTGGGGGCTGCCAGCGAACCCCAGCCCTGGCCAGCGGAGGTGCTGCATTTCCTGGGGCCACAGCCAGCCTCGAGGGGGCACCCCACCCACAAGAGGTGGGGGCAGGGCCGGAGGGGCCCTCCTGCGGCAGCACTGGCCTGCCACACGCAAGGCCCTGGTCCACCCCAGCCCAAAATAAAAACAGAAAAGAAAAAGGTGACCCAGGAGTCGCCCAGGACGGGCAGCCCGCCTGCACACGCTCGGATGGTACCCGTGAGTTCCACGGCTGCGCATCCGGCCACCTGCAGGACACAACAGCGTCCCAACAGATTTCCTGCACGTGGACAGGCTGTTTACTCTTGTTATCTCCCCCAAATGACACCGTGGTGGCAATCCCTTGTCCAGCAATGACACTGGCCCATCTACCATGAGCCACCTAAAGCCGCCGTGAGCGCGAGGTGGTGGGTGTCTTCTACCAAACACCGCGCCATCCCAGAAGTGCCAGGACCAGCCCCTGGAGACTGAGGGATGACCGTGAGTGACCAGGGAAGTGCCAGAGGGCATCCACACAAGGACACCGCCCACCGCCCACCTCCCACCAGCTGCGGGAGTGGTGGGCACACTTGGCCCCCGCACACCTGGAGCGTCCTCGGCCATGAGCAGGGGCCAGGTGACAGCTCAGTGTGGGGGACGCGAGGACCTGGTGCTCAGCGAGAGCCAGACCAGCAGGCCACAGGGTGGGACTTGTGACTCCACTGGTCGGAGAGTCCAGAGACAGGATGTGGGCTCAGGGGTACAGGGCTGGGCAGGAGGGTCACTGCTCACGGGGACAGGGCTACCTTATGGGGGGATGGAATGTGTAAGAGCAGACAGTGACGGTGGCTGCGGGCTGGGTCACCCGGCAGACACGCGTGCGCTCTGGACGCACATTCAGTGCGCGGCTCAGCCTCAGGCTGCTCGTTACAGACGCCGGGCAGAGTCCTGGGAGGACCTCTGGGCAGGAGCCACCAGGAGAGTCAACCAGGTCACTGAGAACCCATCCAGCAGGGGATAAGAGTGGCCAGGGGGACTGTGCCTGTGGCCTCGGCAGCTAGGGCTCTGGGCCTGGACCTGGGGACGGTGTGACCTTGGGACGGTGTGACCTTGGGACGGTGTGACCTGGGGACAGTGTGACCTGGGAGACAAGATCTGCTTTGCTCGTCGGAGAAACTGTTTTCTGGTTGCCGCGTCCGGCACTGGGGCATGGGGACTGTCCTAGGCAGTCCAGGTCTGGGGCATGGGGACAGTCCTGGGCAGTCCAGGTCTGGGGCATGGGGACAGTCCTGGGCAGTCCAGGTCTGGGGCATGGGGACAGTCCTGGGCGGTCCAGGCCTGCATGACGTGTGCTCTGATCACAAAGCTCGTGGCATCTCAACATGTTCAGTCTTCTCTTTGGTGTCTAAGGACGTCCACCACGTCTCTCCGTCAGGGGGCCACACGCTGCCCTTTAGTCTGTTTGCATGAGGCGCGACCACGGCCTCTAATTCCAGAATATTCTACCTCTCCAAAAGGAAGGCCGTCCCCATGACAGCCCTGTCCCTGCCGGGGTGCTGCCTCTGCACTCTCCTGTCACTGCGGTCACTCTGTGTGGCCTTGTGTATCTCATCCTGAGCACCAGGTCCTCAGGTCCAACCACACTGCAGCATGTCACCTGGCTCCTGCTGGTGGCCGAGGGACAGCTGACAGTGTGGATGGGGCATGTCCCATGGATCTGCCCACGGGCACGGGGCCGGCTCTGCTCCTTGGCACTGTGAGCTGGGCAGGTGTGACCACGCACGCCCGAGCTCAAGCCCGCGACCTGGTCCTACGGAAGGCCCCACGTGCTGGGCCCTGGCACCCAGGCCGCCCGGGTACCTCTGGCTTGGCTGGGTCCCTCTCGGTGCCCTGTGGTCCCTGCTCCTTCTGGCTCCAGCTGAGCCACATCTGGTGCAGCCTCTCCTGGCCCTCCACGAGCTTCTGGTCCACACCCTGCTTCACGGTCTCCATCTGCAGGAGAGAGCCGGTGAGGGGAGGACCTCCGCGCCCCCGCACCGCCCAGCATGGGGGACAAGAGGGTGCCCGGGACCCTCTGCTCCCATCTGACCTATGAGATGGTCTGGAGGCCACAGGGCCTCTGGGGACTTCAAAAACATCAAGCCCCTTGTGTCCCGTGTGGCCAGGGGCAGCAGAGAAAGTGGCCTCACGTGCTCAGTGGTGACTCCAACCCATCTACTCTGTCCCTTGCAGCCAGACATGGCCTTGGCCGCGGACTGGCTTTGGTGGCTGGGGGTGACAGCACGGGAAGCACTGCGTGCAATGCTACTCCGTCGGGAGAAGGGACAGAATGACAGCTGGCCCGAGGTAGAGGGATCTGGAGGACATGATGCTAAAACTACCCACAAAAGGACACACGGGGTCCACCCCCAGGAGGTCCCTGCAGTCCAGAGCCAGAAGCCGCGTGGTGACAGCTGGGCTGGGAGGGACAGGAGCTTTACTGGGGACTGAGAGCCGGGCACCCAGTGGATGGCCAGGCTGCTGGACTGTGCGCCCTGACATGGGGACGGTGGGCTGGGCTGCGGCTCAGGGGTGGCGCTTAGCGTGTGTGTGGCCTCCCATGATTTTGTCCCTCTGTGCTGGGGGTGGCCCCAGGACCGCCCACGTGCTGGGGAAGTGGGGCCCAGCTGGGCTCCACCTGCCGTCGGCCTGACAGCACCTAAAGGCCAGGTCCACTGCGCGTTGCGTCTGGGACCCCAGGCTGGTGCCATGGAAAGCACCTGGGCCACGGGCTGGAGGAGGGTGCGCTGAGGCCCAGAGCCAGCCACCCGGTCAGGCTGCACTGTCCCCCCAAATTCACACGTTGAAGCCCAGAGCCCCAGAACCCACGAAGGGGCTGGGCTTGGAGGTGGGTCTTTACAGAGGGGGTGACGGGAGACAGACATCTGGCGGCCTGGACGCAACAGAACCTCCTAAGAGGGGACTGGGACAGATGCCCACGGAGGGGCAATGAGAGAGGACAGAGAAGATGGCCCTGCCAGCCCTGCGCACCCAGCCCCGCCCGGCCCCGCCCGCAGCCCCGCGCGCTCACCAGGCTGAGCGCCTGCGCCAGCTGCTGCAGCCCGTCCTGAGCCCGCTGCCGGGTGCTGCGCAGCTTGCCCAGGGAGTGCTCGTAGGCGCGTTGCCGCAGCCGCTCCGACAGCGAGCCCAGGCGCACGAAGTAGCTCTGCTCCTGCCGCTGCTGCTGCACCGAGGCCACGTCGAAGCCCTCCAGGGACGTGGCGATGCGCGCTGCGGGCAGAGGGGCCTTGGTGAGGCGGAGGACAACCACCCAGTGCCACAGACCCAGCGCCGGCGCTGGCCAGGCCCTGGGATGCAGGCCTCCGCCTCCACTGCCCCACCGCGCAGGGGAGGAAGGGGCCCCCACACCCGGCCCTCGGGCAGGTCTGCCCGCCTCTGGCTTCATGGACTCGCTAACGCGCGGAGGAGTTCGCCGAAGTACACGGGTCCCCAGGACCCCGGGTATCCAATCCCCGGATGCTCCAGTCCCCTCCTAGTGTGGCGCAGCGTCTGCACAGCCATCTGCACAGCCTCCGCAGAGGTACTCAGGCCGCCTCCGTGGTGCCGACAGGCCGTGTCGTTGGGGCAACAAGGACAAGAATACCTATGCCTGTTGGGCACAGACACAAAGGTGCGCTGCGGTTGGTTCAGTGCACGCACAGGAAAGGAGGGCTGCAGCCGTGCCCTGCGGCTGACACTAGAACGTCCCCCACGCAGCGGCCTCTCCAGCACAGAGGGGACC